AAGTATCCGACGGCCGATGGCCATGGAAAAATTCCGCGTCGTGGCGTCGCGACTCGGCCGGTCTCGGCCCTCCTGAGCCCTGCACGAGGTATCGAGGGCGTGACCATGCGAGCGACTGCGGTATGATCATTGGTAGGGTCGCGTCCAGGGGCGGACGGTCACACTGCGTATACTATGTCGAGCGGATTGGTCGCACGTCGTAGGCGGAGTCGCGCGCGGCCTCGCAGCCAATCGCGCGACGCGGCGAGCGGAAACCTCGTGATTTTTCGAAGAAGCACGACGGCGCAGCCGTCTACGGGCCGTATCGAGTACTCCAGGCCGCTGCGCGCCGCCAAGCTCCCAGTATGTTTTTACTCGGGGTTGAGTAAACTTCGGCCTGTTGTGTATCATAATACCGCGGCGTGCACACGCGGGTGCTAACGGGGTTAGCGTGCGTCTTGCGTTAGCGGCACCGAGTCTGCCGCCGATCAACTGAATGCACCTTCGCCTCCTGCCTTCACCGCGGCCTCGCACACCCGTCCGTCTTCCGTGTCTGGGAAGATCCCCGGGATACGGTCAACAAAATACTACTACGGATCAGCAGCACGCGCGTGAAGCGCGCCGCGAATTCGATGAGCGACGACGTGGTGTTTTTCGGGGTACCAACCGAGCGTGATCGCACGTAGAGGGATCTATCGATCTTTCGCGAAGATACCCTTGGATCGCGTGGTCTCACAAAGATGCAGTGACGACAAGTGCGCGTGCTCGAGGTGTTCGGAGTGAAGAACGTGTTTGATAGCAAATTTTTTTCTATGGCGACTATAAGACGCGTTTGAGAAAAACGGCGGGAAAGATAATTGTGGTGTTTAATATTTGCTCGAATTTATCGTAAATAATTATTTGACTGCATCGAGAAAACGAACAAGTATTATAATCACAAGAGTTACACAGGTGAAGTTAACAACTAGACTCGTATCCAAGACGCATTGTGAACGAATGCTATGTATAAAAATAATTAATAATTTCATGGAATAAAAAACGTTTTTTAGAACTCTAAAAAGCAATAATTCATGATTTTAATCTTATAAACACCTAGTGATATGTAGTAAAATAAAAGAAAAACGCTCATTTCTAAAATAGTTTTCAATTCTGTGATAGAAGAACTATAATTTGCCAACGAGAAAATATCGATATTTTAATGAAGAAGGGATCGATAAAAAGGATAACAATTAGCAATTAGTTCAAGTAGGAGACAACTTTCAAGAAATATGTGCATTGCGTGACTGCCTGTCGAAATAGTGAAAACGTAGTAAAAAAAGGTCTTATTTTACTTGGATTTGTAATTATCTATTGACTGCGAGGAGCATCGGGAAAATGCACACGCTATTCGGCGAACAGAACGCGTACTATCGGCACGCGACGGCGGTGCCGGTTGGTATGGGTACGCCGTCGTACCCGGGGGTGGGCGCCGCCCCAGGTTATTACGAACAGTATCGCTACGGCGGTTACGCGACGGCCGCCGGTTACCCAGTGTCGGGTATCGGCCAGCAGCACATTCATCACGCCGGCAAGGACATGGTAAAACCGCCGTACTCGTACATCGCACTGATCGCCATGGCTATTCAGAACGCGCCCGACAAGAAAATCACGCTCAACGGCATCTATCAGTTCATCATGGACCGCTTTCCGTATTATCGCGAGAACAAGCAGGGCTGGCAGAATTCTATCCGACACAATCTCAGTCTGAACGAGTGCTTCGTCAAGGTGCCGCGTGACGACAAGAAGCCCGGTAAGGGCAGCTACTGGTCCCTCGATCCCGACAGTTACAACATGTTCGACAACGGCTCTTATCTGAGACGCCGCAGACGCTTCAAGAAGAAGGACGCGCTGAAGGAGAAAGAAGAGGCGATGAAGCGGCAGGGTCTGGTGCCGGAGAAGCGTCAGGAGGACGCCAAGTCCGGCAGCAGCCAGGTCGCTCTACCGCCGCCGTCGGACACGTCGGCGAAGAAGCTCGGCACACTGGAGACCGCCACCGGTCTGTGCAAGCCGAAGCGCGAGCCGGTCAACGATCACACCAGCGGTAACCACTGCATGGCGGTTCAGGCGACTAAGTACAGCCTGCACAGCCCGATACAGGAGACGAAGACGACGACGGCGGTTGCGGCGCCCGGCCAGAGCGTCATCCAGACCGCGCTGGGCCATCAAGTGCATCAGCCGCATCAGGTGCACCAGGAGGCCATCCAGGACGTGTCGATGGGCCTCGATCCGGCTAGCTTCAGTGTCGACGCACTGATGACCACGCGGGACAACAGCGCCGGGCTGATGGCGCGCGACAATCAGCATCACTCGCACCATCCGCACGGTCTCCAGCATCCGCACTCCATTATGAGCAGCAGGGAGTCCATGGGCAGCGGCAGCAGGGACCTGTCGTCCGCGTGCACCACCACGACCACCACGACCGCCGCGGTGGCGGCGATGATGGCCACCACCGGCTACGGGCACAGCAGTACAGTTTCCAGGGGCAACGCCTCACCGCCCGGCACCATGTACACGCCGTATTGCGCACCGGCGGCCGCCGGCTACGCCATCATGGACCACGCCGAGTACAACTCGGCGAGGAATCACGCGAATAACGCCGTAGGACACTCACAGTGGTATCAGGATGCTGCTAGTCCTGATACGGCGATCTATCAGGACACTCAGTCCCCGAGCTGCCAGCTTTACAGGTACACGATATGCGAGAATGGACCCTCGGATCATTTTGCATCCGTTGATATGATGCAATACTTATCTCAAATTCCTTGTTGACGATGAAAATTGTGCTTATTTCATTGAATAACTGCAAAGTCTGCGTAAAGAACAAATCACCCGGCTGAGATTCTAAGACATGATGCGAAGAGAAATTTTCTCATCAATGATCTCATGATCGTAAAAGTTGCTTTTCTCTATGAAGCGCCAAGTAATACAATCATGTATAAGCTTTTGTCACGACATATTTTTATTTTGAATTTATTAAATACATAGATGCAGCAAATTAATTTTATGTTATAGTTAGAATTTATTTCAAAATTTACAAAAAAAATTTTAAAAACTTAATCTTTTTCCACAAAAAATAAAATCTGTATTAATTTATACAAATATAAAGATATGTTGTAGGATTTTAATGCATATAATTTGCGTTATATGATATATTATTATGTTTGTTATATTTGTCAAGAAGAATGAAACGTTTAAATGTCGTAAGAGAATCACTGAAAAACGAAAATGATACTTGTCAAGTTATCGATAAATCGAGAATATTAAAGATATTAATGTATTGTAAACAAAATTTTCTAATCCGATGGCCGAAACGCAATTGTATGTTCATATAAATGTAAACAATAAATTGAAGCGCTAAGCCCTAGCTCTGACTCTGTTTAGTTTCTAAAGATTATCAAAATAATATTATTAACAATTATTTTCTTTGAGATAAATTTGAATTGTAAATTCTTTTTTTGCTAATTACAAAGACATATTAATATAAAAGATTGACCGGATGTTTATAATTCATTGAAATAGCAATACATTTTATTGAGACGCATGAGTGTGATTTTCAAGAGTAACTTTCTCCTATGAGTAGTTTCCCTGTCGTATATCGTGGCGAAAGTTTATTGCACACGCAGATGCAGTATTTTTTTCTGCAATATTTTACATGGTGGTGATTCGAGTTTCGATTCTTTCTCGCTGACTTCGTAGTAATAAGTTGCTGGACATACGACACTAGAAAACAAATTTCTAGTTTTAATGTTCAATAATGTCTATTCAATGGATTTTGTGTGAAGAAAATATATTTCTGTGTAAATGAGTCATCAAAGTTCCAAACGAGAAGAAAAATTTCAACCAAGATTTTGAAGATGCAATCTTAGCAAGATCGTTTGATAAAAGCGATAAGATTAAAATCGTTAAAATAGGTCATTTGTCCGCTTCTGTTCAACGCGAGTCTTTGGCGGCTAACAATAAGGTGTCATTGATGAGGAACAAAAAGATTAAACGCCGAGGAACAGAAAGATTAGACGATGAGGAACAAAAGATTTGACGCATCATGTTAAACTTGAATAAAAGTGATTAGATAATTATCAATTTTCGTATTTATAGCAGCGATACATTTGCCGCTAATATCAAAATTAGTAAGACGTCAACCAATTTTAAATTACATGTGATAAAATGAAAGATTATTGAAGAACTGAGTCATCAAAGCACAATTTAATTCAATGTAGATCGAGTCCGCCGACACCGCTCTCGACGGGTGCGGCGCCGTCTCCTCCGCTATATCACCGATATTACCAAGACTGCAACGCCGTCAACACCAGCGGCAATCTTCCGATAACGTTGCACAAGTACTGAGAGTATCGAAATTCAAGGTCCCACCAGCGGGACCTTGAAGACCACCATGGCGATCATTACGATCCGGGCTTGGTTTACGTGAAGCAAGAATGGATTCCCTCGTCGGACGAACTTGCCAAGGAATGGAACTAGAAGGGAAATGTCTCGGAGAGAACTGGTAAAAAGTAGTGTAACTCCCGCCCATATCGGATCGTATCTTCATATCGTGAAAGATCGTCAATAAGTAATTAGCAATTTGCATATTGACAATGCGTTGATGAATGTCGTTCACGATGTTATAATTGCGCGATAAGTAGCGGTCGAGTTAGGAACTCTATCGAGATTTCTTGGTGGAAAGAGAGTGAAACCAAACGAACCCGCAATATCATTTGTTTTTCATTATTCTGCATTGTTGTAATATTTGTAACAATTTTCGATTAATTTGCTCAAGACAAGTTTGCTAAACGGTAGCTGTTTTTACAATTGTTAAGAAATTAAAACTTCCGAGAATAATCGACTAGACGAAACTAGAGATAACGCGATACAAATTTAATAATCTTAATTGAAAGATTCCGAGCCTGCAGACCCAAATAATTAAGATAAAGTAAGTAAATCTCGAAATATCAATGTACATATTAAAAACAACATATATGAAAAAGAACACAAGTTTATGATCAATTTCCTCGTCTTTGCACGCAAAAAGATGATTCACCGCTTTCAATTAGCAATATCATAAATTTGACGATGCGAACCGTTTTTCCTTATTTCACTCAAAAGTCTCGATTTAATGAATGGAATGCGAAGTGAACGACCGGGAAGAGGAAATAAATGCGAACTTTCGGCATAATCGTTCTCACTTGTGCAAACATCGCGAGGCCGCCGTCACTGACCTACCTGATGAATTTTTTCGATCATCGCTATTTTCACGCACATCTGTACAAACCGCCGTAAATCGTGCGAGGCGCGTGAAAATATTGGCGCGTCTCCGCTTGCCGATTGTTTGCTTCCGACAGATAGCGAGAAGGACGAGTCAAAATCATCGGCCCGGATCGTCCGGATGCTCAGATTTGTGTTCCGAGCGCGCGACTTCTCGCGCAACTCACATTACGTCGAATGCCTATTCCGATATTTCGAAAAATGCGACGACATTTGTTCGCGGTTTTCGTTCTTTCCGCCAGGATACCCTTGGAGCGGGTTAAAAAAGTCATTGTTTGCATTGCGCGACGCGTTTTGCATCGAGTATTTCCGCGATCCCGAAATGCCCGCTTTTTTTGCACCATAGTGATTATTCCGCAACGAGGGGTCCCAGAATTTTTCGCATTTAATGGGACGTCACGTTGGATACGTAACGAATAAATGAGTTACTTGGGGAGCAAATAGGTATATCGTGAGATTGTTTTATTGAGAGTAGAGGTGGTCTAACGTTTTAACGCCCTGAGATAACAAATTCCCCGAAATTCGTGTCCCTGTAATAACACTTAATAGCGATTTGACTCTTGCAATCGTTTTTGTATAGCAAGCAATAACATATATTTAACGTTACTTGGATGAAACACATACACGTGTGTTGTTTCGTATTTAATTGCAGATTAAAATGGACGGCATTACAGTCGAAATATTTTAATCTTACGAATCGTGAAACGGTAATTGTCGCGATTTCAAGCGTTTCGCGATAGTGGCACAATGTAGTAAAAATTATATAATGTTGTATATAATATATCGAGAAAAACTAATTGTGGTCTTAAGTTTTCGATGTTGAAAATTTATTCCGCTTTAGTTTACACCCCCACAAGAGTGTTCGCGATTGACACAGAGGCGATGAGAAGTGTGTTGTAAAAAAGGATACGTTCAGCGATTAATGATATATTGTACTTTCTTCGCAGGATTGCACCTCGTTCTTGTGCATTTAATCACGTGAAAACCTTCCTCGGTGCCGGAGATTCGCGCGGCACTCGACGAAAGAGAGCTGAGATAATATACATATATATTTATTGATCGTAAAAAGAAATTACGGATCATGTGAATAATAATTAGCGTTTAATGCTCGAATCGTAATGTAGGCAGACAGATTTCTGCGTGTATATTATTACGAGGAATATATATATATAGATAGAAATAGACTGTATAGAACGAGAACATTATATATGTATAAATAGACAGATCTATATATATATATATATATATATATATATATATATATATATATATATGTAGTA